AGGGAGGGGGACTGGGTTGGGGGAGGGGGAGGGAAAGGGGAGGCGGCGGTGGGGAAGAGACAGAAATCTTTAATAAATAAATAAATAAATAAATAAATTAAAAAAAAAAAAACCCTGAACACAGCAAACTGGCTCCAACATACCTTTCACTGTCTGCCCAATTTCCTATAGGCCCAGACCGTCAGCTGCTTCCCAGACACCATGAGACTACAAAGGAAATGACCATCACCTCCCCCTCCTCCCAGTACCCAACATAACAAATAAGAAAACTCAGACCTAGAGGTAGACCTAGCACTCAGGTAGGCAGAGAGGCAGAGACAGTGCAGAGACCTGAATCAGCCATTCCGAGTCCTCCAGTGAGCGCAGAAAGGAGGCTGAGCCAGACTCAACGGCAGGGCAACCAGGTACACAGGCCTTCAGTAATTTCTTGAAGCTGGCTTTTACCTGCCTTGCCTCAAACACCTCAATAGGAACCAGCTCCCATTGTTGCAAGGGATCTGGGCGTACACCCTGGAAGAAGGCCAATGAAAAGCTGTAAGCCAAACCTAGCCCTGGGTTCTCTGCCTAGCCCTGTGCCCCTATCCCAGTTACCTTGAGCTGAGCTTTGTCACCAATGATGTAGAGGGCTGCCCGCTGTGGTCGCAGGAAGCCAGAATCAGGTGGAGCGCCATTGGTGTGGGGGGTGCTGAGGAGATCTCTGCCAGCTAACCTAGAGCCCACATCAGCACCAAGCCCACTGCTGCGACCACTGGCTCGGACACTGCTCCATTTACCTGCAAAGGAGATAACAAGTGAGCACTAGATTGAGGTCTGGGCACCACTTACCTGGGGCTGGCTGGGCCTGGCCTCCAGGGAGGGGACTGAGTTTCCAGGCAGGGCAGAGTGGTCAGCAGGCCATGAGAGGGAGCAGGGCTGGAACACACAGATGCTAAGGCACATGGGGTGTGGCCTATGTTAGTGTCTGGAGTGGGCTCAGGTGCTGGGCAAGTGAGTAACTAGGGCTAGGAGGAGGCAGTTGTGCTAGTCTGTCACAAAGGGGGCGTTAGTGCTGGGTGTGGAGGGAGAAATTAGTGCCTAAGACATATTCACACTAGGGAGCCATCAGTGCCAGGTAAGGGGAGAGCCCCATTACGGTACCTCGGGACGCAGTCCATCTGGAGGCCGAGGCCGCCATAGGGTTGGACAGCGTGGTGACCCTGGCTCGGGGGCTGGGCACTGAGGGCACAGCAGAGAGAAGGCTCAGGTTTGGTCCCAGGCCTAGGTTGCCAGAAGCTCCCACCAAGCCCCACTCCCAGGGGTCAGTGGCAGGATGGGCCCTTGTCTGGTCCAGGCAAGGGTTCTTCCCACCAGGGGCAGCTAGGCATAGAGGGTCTGTGATGCTGGGAAGGGTCAGGCTTTGCAATACAGGGCTCTTCTTCAAACAGCTCCAAGCAACCTTATCTTCAGATTTTTCCTAGACCCTCTTCCTTTAGTTTAAGCCAGGGACTGTTTGATGGACAGTTCCTGACAGAAGTGTTCAGCCTTGCCCCCTCTCAAAAAAAAAAAAATCACAAGAAGTACCTGAGAGCCTGGAGGAGACCTAGAAGCAACTGGAAGAGGAAGAAAGAAAGGCCAGAGGGCAAGGAGGACAATTTAACCTACAACACGAGCAGATCTGAGTCCTAGGACAATGTGGCAATGTCTGGGAGGAGCCTGAGTCACACCTCAGGTTTACCTATGTAGAGGCCTCATGCAGGACACAGAAAAAGGTGTGAGGCAAGACAACATTACCCCATCCAATGCAAGGATCACTAAGGCCAGTCTTCCACACCCTGACCTCTCTGACAACCACACACTACAGATGACAATTACCCAGCTTGCACTGCAGACGGCAACAGACTTCTTAGGTTGCAAGCTGGAAATCCACATAGGGTTGACGGAAGCCAGACTCCTGATCATCACAGGACAATCAGGGAGAGTGGCCCCACACCCTGAATTTACACCAGAGCTAGCAACAGTAGCACTGGAGAAGGCTAGAGATGTCCAGGGGACACTTGGGAAGGTGCAGGCTGACACTTTCTGAGAGGAAGATGCTGCCCGAAGGTGTCACTCAGGATTTCTGGCAGAAAAGCAGACTGTAGGACACCTTTAACCACACAGAAACCAGATATTCCCAGGGAACTGCACCATGGGTCAATCTGGCCTGTCCTCAGACTGGTGTCGCCTGGTGACCATGAGAGCAAACCTGATGCCCTGTCCTCAGCTCCGGTGGCCAGCAAATGTTAACAAGAGATGAAGACAAACACTGGTGGAAACAGATGAGAAGCACGGGTACAACAGGGAGTGAAGAAGCCGGGGGCAGAGTGGTTACAGACAGAGTTAAGGGCAGAAAGCTGCAGGCAATGATAGACCTAGCCTGGCTCACACTTTTAATCTCATCACTTGGGAGGCAGAGGAAAGTAGATCTCTGTACTCAAGGCCAGCCTGGTCTAAAGAGTGAGTTCCAAGACAGCCAGGGCTATACAAAGAAACTCTGTCTCAAAATAACAACAAAAGAACAACAGACCTGGGAAGTCAGCTTATAGGAACCAGATAGACAAGACAGACAGACTTAAGGACCCTGGGCTACAAGATGGCTGTGTTCATATGAGGTGCTACTAGCCTAAAAGCCATCAGAACCACTATGCTTTCAGGAACTAATCCCAGGAGAGAACATGAAGCCCCAAAACTTCAAGGGGAAGGGGGACAAAGGGGACTTGAGGTTAAGGCCTGGCATACAGCTACCATCTATCTGTTGCGCATACAAGATGGATTGGGGCAACTCACTCCCAAGTGATACTGTCACAGCTTGGTAAGACGGACTCTGCAGCTTATGGTTCAAGAGCCTGGCAGACCTATGCTGAAAGATTTCCAAGCACAAAGACCCAGCTTGACACACGTTAGGCTTAGTATGCAAGTTAGTGGCTAGAGTTGTACATCAAAGAATCAACTGCTAAGGACCCCAACATCTACCAGCCAGGCTGTGAGAAGCAGTGCCCATAAACCACAGCTCACACGTCAACCAGCACTGGATGCAGGTGATCTGCCCTCATAGATCAGCATCAAGAGCACACACATGGCGCCACTCTCAGTGCTGGCACTAACCCACTATGCAAACACAGTCCTGCCCAAAGCTAGTGCTGGGCAGCAAGTCCCAGGCAGCAAAAGAAAGGATTCAACTAATAGCCAGAGGCACACACCTGATCTCTGAGCCTCCTTCAGACAACAGACCCAATTCATAATGACAGAAGACCCTGCACACAATTATGATGACAGCAGTTCTCAGGCAGGGAACTGTGTGGGTGCCTCACAAGCAGAGGTCAGCATGGGAAGAAGGTTGGCCTGGTACCCCTTTAAGTGCTTTCAGGCTGTCATGGAGGTATATATTGGAGAAGGGATGGCAATGACAGCGAGAGCAGTGCAGATAAGACCCAAAGAGCCAGGACAGAAAAACATGAAGGCCAACTAATGGACAGAGGAACAGTTAGAAGGGGACAGGATAGAGGAAGGATAAGAAAATGACTTTAAGGATGTTCCAAGGGCTGTAGACAGAAGCAAACATAGCAAGGTATGGATGGAGCATCTGTTGGACCTAGAGGCCTCTGGCAGATGTCCTGGTCTAAGGAAGGAGAGGGAATGGACAGGCTTATGGTCAAAGGAGAGAGGGCCTCAGGACACTCACCTGGTCTGGGCAGTATTCCTGCCCTGTCCCAGAACACGGAGAAGGGTCCCTCCCTCTCTTTGTCCCATACCCAACACCCACAATCAAGACAATTCTGCCCCAGCTGGTTAGCCCACCATGAACACTGCCACGGCCTCAAAGGCCACCATCCACCCAAAAGCACCCTCTCACCGTGACCACCCATGTGGGCAGAGGAGAAGCTACTAAGTGTGTTTCGTCCTGATGAGTCAGCATAACGAGGCATGGAGCTGACCACAGCCTGCAGGTACTTCTCTTGCTCCAAGCTGCTGGAATCTGTCTGGGCCTGGCCTGAAAAAGGAGGTGAGGCTGCAGCTGCAGCTGCAGGAGATGGAGATGGACAGGTAGGGTAGGCAGACACAGGCAGAACAAAGGAGGAGTACCTGGAGAAGGTGTATTCTGGGCCTTGAAGAGACCAACAACACCCTTGCCATGCAGGCCCCCAGAGCGTAGCAACACAGCCTTGGAGCGCCCACTGCGCCAGCAGACCACAGGAAAGCGGTTTTGGCGGTAGCAGCGGGACACACGCTGCAGGGCATTGTCCTGGATGCTCTGGGGAACAATCAGCAATCCTGGATAGCTGCAGGAGTCGGAGGTATCATGAGGGAAGTTCTAAGGACCTGCCCCTTTGCCTACCCACAGAGCCTTACATCTAGTATGTAAGAAGAGTCAACAGGGTAAGCACAATGGAACAGACCCATGGCTCTCAGAATCTGAAGGCCAAAGGCACTTTATACTTATCCGGTGCCTCCAACAAACCTACAGCCCAACCCTCTATCCACCTCCTGCCCATGCTCCTTGTTTCTCCAGGATCCATGGCTAGGACCCATGGCAAGCAGGGAAGATATCCAAGCACTGCCTACCACTCTAGTCAGTCCTGGCAAAATCTTCCTGGCGTGTCCTAGCCAGCCCTCACCTGCGACATATGGCATACATGCGATTAACAGGAGAGATGCGAAAGGGCTCAGACTTGGCCCGGCTCAGGCTGCTGCTCAGGGTACCTAGTCCAAGGCGCTGGTAGTCACGGCAACATGCCCGCTCCACCAGGCTGCTCATGGTCATGCGGTCAGAGGGCTTCAGGGCTGAGGACGGGGTCAGTGTGCTGGGCTCCAGCTCCTCTGACACTACAAACATTATAGTTAGGAGTCATCTCCTCTAAAGACCCTCAACCCAGCCTAGCCTCCATGGGACCATCTCTAGAGACCCCAGCCCCCCCAGTCCAGCCCAGCCTCCACGGGATCATCTCTGATAGAGAACACACAGATTTCCCTGACCCTGCTCCCACCTGAGATCTCGTCCTCCTGGTCCTCAGGGGGTGGCTGGCCCCGATTCTCCCAGCCAGGGGGGTTATACTTCTTCCTAGTAACATACTGCCGCCCAATGGTCTTCTTAGCATTCTTCACCAGGTTCCGAGACAGGGTTCTGGGGTATAAAAGTCCAAGAGCAATGAGAAGGCAGGAAGTCCATAAGACTATACTAGGTGCACAGCGAGCGCCTGGCTGCTCTGGCTCTGGGACCCAACTCCATACCTGAGTGAAGGAGTCTTGTCCTTAGTAACCCGTGGCGGCCGGCCAGGTGTGTGGGCTGAGCCAAGTGTGAATGCAAAGGTACCCCTGATATCTGGTGGGTACCGAAGCTTGTGTAGCTGCTTGCGGAAGAGCTCGGCACTGTCTGATCCCACCTCCTCATCAAAGGCCATTTTCAGCAGCTGGGTCAGACAAATAACCCCTCAGGGCTCTAAGTGGCCATTAGGCTCCTCCCCAATCAGATAGCATTCATTTCATAGACTCCCTTCTTATGGCATGTACTCCACAAAGCAGGCAAGCTGTGCCTTTTAAGGAAAGATATCATGTCCATGCAACTCAGGATCCAATGCGTATAAACCGAAAATTTCAGTGGCTACTTGATGAGGTCTCAGCTTAGACAGTTCACGCAAAACTTGGACTCTGCATATTTGTCAGGATAAAGACAAATACGCAGGAGCCACTATTTCAAAAGATCACATGATACCAGGCTGAGAGCCAATGTGACAGCCCCACGTCAACAACCCACTGGCAGGAACCCACTTATAGAGCTCACACTAGCTGCAGGGGACAAAAGTCTACTCACTTGGAATGTGCAGGAACGGAGCTGCAGACCATCCTGCAGAAGCTGGTCCACAGGGGTCTGGACACTAATGCGCTTCTCCTTGGTCAATGCAGCCACAGGGAAGGAGCGGACTACCACTTGATCCCCCACTTAAACAGGTTAAGCAGTCAGGAGGAGAAAGGAGGAGAAAGGAATACATATCTCAGGGTTCCAGACATGCAAGTCTTGGGTGGATAGGAAAGGAGCACATTGGCCTATCTCCTCGAGGGCTTTGATTCTTTGAGGAAAGGGAAGGGAAAAGGGAGTCTTATCTACTCCAAGAGCTAGGGAGGCACAGAAAAAAGGCTTACCCAGGGGGTCAGTAGGCATCCCTGTGAAGATGACGCGGTATGTGGTAAGGAAGACAGCACCCTCGGCTGGGAGTAGTGCAGGGCCCCCTCCACTGCCTCCTACACCCTCCTCACGCCCATCTGGCAGCAGGTACACTCGAAGGCCGTCTAAGACACACTCCTCACCAGGCAACAGGCGTGGCCTCAGCAGCTTGGGCTGTTCAGGAAACAGAACTTAGAGCATAATCCAGGCCTCGAGTACCCACAGCCTGTCAGCCACTACTCACCTTCTGTATGGGCGGTAACCTCTTGCTCTCTCGGTGTACAGCCTCCAGGGTCTCAATGTGCATCTGGACAATGTCTGGGGGAGAGCAGGTCTCATACCCTGGGCCCCTACAGCCACCCATCTGAGGAGTACTCCCAAGCCCAGTTCCACCATACCTGGTACCATGACATGCAATCCCTTGAGTTGGTCACTGGTGACCCCACTCTCTGTGCAGACCTTGTCCACAAAGCGGTTGATGAAGCGGACCACAGCCCCAGCTACATCACATGTCTCTGCATCTTCAAAGCCACTCTCTGTGTCATAGCTCTCAGCGACACTGCCCGCCATGCTGGGCCAAGAGGGGGTGTGTGGGCACCAGCACCCCCACACCCCCACCAGAAGCCTTATCCCTGGCCCAGGCCTCACCACTGGCCCCACCCCACCTGTTGGTGACCAGGCTGTTGCTGGCACTCTCCAGGTCTCCCAACCCTGCCCGCTCCCGCAGCAGTCGGCTCTTGCTGCTGTCCAGAGGCAGCAGAAGGTAGCTCATGCGGTTGGCATAGTGGATGGCCTGGCTGAACACAGTGCTTTCCTCCTTCTGTACCAGCTCCTGCTGCTTCTCACGGCTTAGGGTTGGCCATAGGCGCCGCTGCTCTGAAGCCACATCCAGGGCAGATCGCTCATCATCCTGAGACTGTGTTTCCCCAACCTCCTGTCAGGTGCCATACGAATAAGCTGGGACCAAAGTATCTGCCCCCAACCCAGCCCAAGCCCAAGAAGTCCTGCACACCTGGGAGGGGCTCACACGGTCATCAGAAGGCTCCAGGTATAGGGCCCGGATATGGGTCTGCACATCCCCATAGAACATGGCCTCCCAGAATTGGGGTGTGCTCCACACTACATGCTCCTGCACACAGCTGTATGCAAACTGTGTCACCCCTGGGCTCAGCTTCTGCAGAAGTGAAGTTGGAAAAGGTTATGTGCACATAGGCAGGAATAGACTAGAGAGGAAGCCTAAACCCACTACACTCCCAGCACTTACCCGGCAAAAGGCTGTGACCAGTGGCAGCAGTGCTGCTGCAATGCCATGCTCATCCAGGGAAGTACAGTCCTGTAAGCAGAGCCACGAGTGATAGGGAGCCCCTCTTAGAGAGCACCCACATCGATCCTACCTCTCTGGCCATCACAGACCAGGATTTCCTACCACTGCCACCTGGAACTGTTGCCTCAGGCTTCAAAGTCAGTTACAACAAGGACTCCCTTCGGCTCCCATTCTCCATATATTACAGACCTCCCTCACATCAGACAGGAGACCCCTGCGCCCCTTTTCACTCTCACATCATGATCAGAGTCTCTCATAACTGTCAGAGTCACAGAGCCATTAGAGAACCCATGTCTACCCACCATATGACATCACTGGTAGATGAAGGTCAGCCTCACCTGCAGGCAGCAATTCATCATGCGGACGACAAAGTCAAACTGCTGATGGTCTAGAACTGCACGGTTCTGCTGTACATGCAGGTGAAGCTCATGGGCGAGGCAGCGACGGGCAGCTCGCCCCTTCAGGGCCCTGAGTACAGCTGGAAGCAACTGGAAGCAGAGAGAGGGGAAATGGAGAAGAGAAGGCAGTACCCAGCGTCAAAGTGGAGGCAGCCAAGCCCAGGTTTCCAGCACAGAAAAGACTGAAAGCCAATGTAAGTCAGGTGTGCTCAGGTTCTGGTTTTCATGACTAGTGCAGACTAAATCGTCCAGCAGACCCAGGAGCTCCACAGAGACAGTTCATGAGGACAGAGACAGAAGGTGTGCATGGTGCTGGCTCCCAAGCAAGTGTGGACATGTGCGCTGGAGGGAGGCCCCACAGGAAAACCACACAACTCTTATTAAAACCCCAGACGTGTTCATGAATACAATAAGGGCAGATGGGATGCAAAAAAATTATTACAGCAACCAAGTCAGGCATGGTCTCTTATGCCTATAATCTCAGCATGGAAGAGGCCGAGACAGAGGAAGAGCAAAGCCAACCATGCTTATATATTGAATTCCAGGTCAACCTGGGCTACAAAGAGCCTATCTGAAAAACTCCTCCCCCAAACAAACAAACAAACACTCCAAACCCCATGGCACGTACAGGTCTACACTGTATAAAAAGCGTACATATACTGCTGTCCACTCAAATGTAGAAGCATCCTCCTATCCACCCAGCCACTGCACAGGCTCAGCCTTTTCCACACTAGAAGGAAGAACTGAGTCTCCTAAGAGTCTTCCCAAGCCCAGATTAGAGGTTCTATCTGACAAGCCTTACCTTCTTTGCTTCAAGCATTTTCCCTTCAAACACATAGGAGATGCAATTCCGCACTACCTCCAGGCGACGTGCACTGTTGATATGAGGCCCGCTGCATCGCTCTAGTATGGCTGCTAAAGAGATAGGACATGCTCACTTTAACTCTTGGCCTTGTACTCATCCTAAACCAGCTTGTCTTCCCCTTCAAGTTACATACTCATGGGGGGCCCTGAAGGCACTGTGGTCCTCCTCTCAGCTTTAACAGCTGGGGGTGCACCCTGCATCTTGGCTGCAGCCTGGTCCACAATCCACTGAACTGTGCCCTCATCTAGCCGGGGGAATGGCCGGTGGGTCCGCCGCAGGTGACTGGCCTCACCTGGCCTCTGCACTTTGTGCATTGCCACAGCTGGGTATGGGTTTTCCTGAGGAAACATAGGCAGGCATTGGCTACTGGGCCAGGGCCAAAGAGGCAGCATGCCCTCCATGTCACCCACCATACATTCTTATAAAGTTGCTCCGCTAGTTCCTGGACATGACGCAGGACGCGGTGGGGATGGTTCTCATCTGCACGCATCCGTGCTACCTCATGAGCCACCAGCTAAGGGGGAAGGAGGCAAGATGATGAGGGTCAGTTGAGTGGGTTGGGAGAGGGACAAGTGGACAGGCAGGGCCAGGGCTGTACCTCATCAAACAGGTCTGTGGAACGGTAAGGGACCCCTCGCTCTGATACGAAGCCTGCAAAGGCCATGCCCTCCAACACCTTCATCAGGAAATCGTCCTCCACCAGCCCACGCTGGCCTAAGAATGCTGCCTGGAGAACACCAACAAGTCAGCTCCTCACAGACTCACGGAGCCAGCTCAGACCCCAGCCCCACAGCCTACCTTATGGAAGCGAATGACTGGTTCTGGGTGGATGCGCACAATGTGCAGGCACCAGCGGTAACCTTGCAGGAGCTGAGCAAAAAGCCGCAAAAAGACAGCACGAAGCTCCTTGTCCTGAAAGAACAAGTCAACACAAGTGAGTATCAGGTCCATTAAAGGACCCTGGGCACTTTTCTCCACACCCATTTATAGCCAGACACAGGGTTTCCCAGGCACCTCTGCTGCCCCCTTTTGCCTCTCCCTACGGTGCTCCTTAGCCAAGTGAGTCCTACAAGTACTGAACAAACAGCTCTTGTCTACGGCTGACTTGGGCACAATCACCACACCTAACTATCTGTGTATCTCCTTCCTGCCCAGGCTAGAGAAGCCCAAGGTCAGCTTGGAGGGAGGCTGAGTGTCTGAGCACCATCAGCCTGGCCATTAAAGGCACTGGAATCTCTTCACCAAAACAGTAGTGACCCCCACCTGCATCTTCAGAGAGGAAGCAGATGTTGTAGGGGGTGGGAAGGCAAGGTCAGCCAACTCCAGCTCTGGATCCAGGACCTGTGGAAGCAGAGAGGAGCAGGGACAACTGTATGGTGACCTTAGGCTCTGGGTTCCCTGGTTGTCAGGTGACGGCTCCCACAAGACCAAGGCACCAGCCCCACCCTGGCCCCAACCCTCACCATGCTCAGAACATTGTGGGTCTGGCTTTGTAGTGGCTCTGGCAGGGGTGGAATGTGCACACACTCAGGGACAGTCACCGTCCCTCCATCAAGATCAGCAATAATCACGTCCAGCTGTGCACCAAAGGAAGCAGGTGGTGAGAGAGCAGCAAGCCTAGGCAGTGATGCCGACACAAGGCCCAGGCCTTACCAGCTCCTGAGTCTCTGCCTGGAAGGCTGCATTGACCCCGATAATGAAAGGCGTAGGTGTGCTAAGGACTTCCAGCAGCTGCGCCGGCAGGATGGGCACATAAGTGAAGCTGCAACAGGCCCAGAAGACACTGTCAGCTCCAGAGAATACAGAGTAGACAGAGGATCAGGGGAGGCCAGGAGGAAAGGCTAGGCAGAAAAGTACCTGTATCTGAGAGGGAATAGCAGTGCCAAGAGGCCCCTGCAAGCATCTGCAAGACGTTGGTAGCTCCTGGACAAGAAGAGGACTTTGTGCTCAGTGAGGGCAGCACAGAACAAAGACAGCACATTGGTGATGCCTGAAGAAAGAAGACAAGCTTGGTGAGGGCCTGTGTTCCTACTCCAGTACACAGGGGGCACCCTCACCTCTGAGCAGCAGTCCCAAAACAGGAAACTGGGAGTGGGATAAGAGGCAGTCTCACCCAGCTGGCGGAAGAGTAGGGCCACACTACAGCGGCTGACAGGCAGGGAGTCCACCAGTGGAGTCTGAATGACCTGCCGGTCACCAGCCCCCAAAGAGATGGTTCTCTGCAGAAAAAAAAATGACCAGAGCTTAGAGCATGGTCAGTCTTGTGTCAAATCTGAGCACTGACAAATCTTGAGATGGGACTGGCTTAGACGTCTGGAGGGAAAGGTCACACACCCTGCCTCTGTTGGCTGAGCAGAGCTGCAGAGAAAACTCAAGGTAAGGGGGGTGTGGGTCTGCCTCTGATCTGAGTGGGGCAGGGCCTGAGTGGGCAGAAGAAACAAAGAATTCATACCGCTCCTTCCTCAACAGAGTCCAGCTGCACAGGACAGACAGACAGAGAGACACCATTAGACACAGGGCACAGAGTACAAAACAGATACACGGACAACAGCATCCAGAGACAGGCATACACCCAATGATCAAGAGAACAGAGAGTGAAAAGGCAAGCCCAAATAAGAAGACAGGGCTAAAAAGAGATGACAAAGGATGGCACCAAAAGCAGAGGGAGTATCTAAGGCCTTGAGCTATGTGTACTCGGCCAGTCAGACTGAGTGAACAACAGGTTCCCCACCACACCCCTTCTGCCTCCTATGGCTGTACCAGGAGGGCCTGTGGCCATCCAGCTGTCTAAGACCTACCTGAGATCCCCCAGCTAAAGGGACGGTACATGTGAGCAGGTTCCCAATCACGTTCTCGAGGCACACATTCAGGCCCTCCACATGGATAGCATAGATGAGACCAAGGCTATTCTGCAACAACCAGATAGGGAACAGTGGTACAGCTGACAGGGCTACCCCACACACTGCCTTGCTGCTATGGTGGCCCTCCTCACCCTGAACACTTCTGTATGGTCCAGTCGAGACACCAGCACCAGAGTCTTTGGAGCAAAAAGCTGGCCAGGCTGGACTGGTGCTGTGGACGACAGCCGTGCCTGGCCTCCTTCATCTGCCTCTTCCTCCTTCTCTGTGGCATCTTCAGTGCACACCACTTCCTGCAGACAGAAACCCATTCTCCTGGCTCTCATCAGAGTCATTCCATGAGCCCAAGTGGAAGACAGAAGTGACTCAGACCCAGCCTTCCCCAACAGGAACATACCCCCAGAGGTAGAGCAAGCTGGCCATGGCTCAAGGCTCAGCTTCACATGTTGCACACCAGAGCTTACGCTGACCTGTGTGGACTCCACTGGCTCCCAGAAGGTCAAGCAGGCGCAGTAGTGCCTCTCAGAGTTGATGTCAGTAAGGACAGCCACAAAAAAAGTTGGTGGATTCCTCTCGGGACATAGCTGCCACCCACTGGGCTGGCAAAACTGCAGGGAGGGATCAGCAGTCAGTGCCTGCACCCATACCTTCAGTAAGAATTAGTCCCCTTTCCCCCACCACCTGCCCCCAAGCATCTGCACTGCCAGGGCCTGGAGTTGCAGGGCATACAAAGCACCTTTTTATTACCCAGGGAATATCTTAACCTCCTAGCCCTCTTGAAGGAGGATTCTGGCCTCACTATCTAGGGTGAAGCTTACAAGGGACACAGTGACATGAGCAAGATACCCTACCTGTGAGGCCAGCTACCCAAACAGTAGACCTGATAACCCTTATGCTATGCCTCCACACTCACCAGCTCAATGCCCTGGGGGAAAGGGTTGTCCTCCCAGTCCTTCTCCGGGAAGCGTTGTAGGATCTGGCCCTGGCCTTCCCCACTCCCTGAGAACAAGAGCAGGTGGTCAGAGCACCTTCCCACTTCCCACTCCCCATCCCTCATACTATCAAGACTGGCCCAGGATGGAAATAGCTCCTTCTCTTTTGGCAACAGACAAGCCTAGGCTCCCAGATCTACCATTTCTCTAAACAAATTTTTGTGCAGATAGACCATTGGATAACTACAGACCTCAAGGCCACCATAAGGAAAATAGAGAAGCCCCTAGATCCCTCCTCCCACCTACAGTCCAGCCTAACCTTTCATTGTATAGGATCCTCTCAGGGAGGAGCAGAGTACTTCCAGTTAATTCAACATCTTCCCTGACTGTCAACCTGCAGCTTTAGCCCTCAGCCCCTGCCAGACAGTGAGCACAACGCAGACAGTGAATACACACTGGGTACTTTGGTGATCCCTGTCACCTGTCTGTTCTGGGCCTATGCTCATGCCTGTTATCTGTGTACAATTCAAGCCTCAGCTTCTCTTATGCTAGGGGTGGAAACACCAACCATGGCTCCAAATTGCTACCTATGCACAGTACCTTAGAGACAGTTCCTCCTAGAGCACAAGTCTCAGAATTCAAGAGTTTAGCAGGTACCTGCCCTTTTGAACACGGGTGTTCCCAGGCTCCCTCTGTCTGTACCAAGAAGGGATGTACTTCTAACTACAGCCTATGTAGGTGGAGTGAAGGTTCTTGCCTGGGCTCACCCCTATACCACCAAATCTGGAGGCAAAGTGATGGTAACAATGATGACACATGACGACTTCATTTGAAGATGGAATACAGTATGGCAGTGGTTCTCAACCTTCCTAATGCTGCAACTCTTTAATACATTATAGTGACCCTCCAACCATAAAATTATTTCATTGCTCCATAACTGTAACTTTGCTACTGTTATAAATCATAATGTAAGTATCTGATATGCAGGATATCTGACATGTGGTCCCCAAAGGGGTCACAACCTACAAGTTGAGAACCTCAGTATGGAAAGAAAGTCAAGCCTCCTCACTTTTGCCTCTTACATATACAACTTCAAGATCCCCAGAGCATAGTGCTCTCCCACCCTTTACAAGGACCAGCATTCAGGAGGCAGACACAGGCAGATCTCTGAGTTTAAGGCCAGCCTGGTCTACATAGATAGTTCCAGGACAGCCAAGGCTATACCAAGAAACCCTGCCAAAAAAAAAAAGAAAAAGAAAAGAAGACGTTTTCTCATGGATCCTCTCCACCTCAGCCTAAGACCTAGAAAACGTTAATGTGCAATGGGCCTGCTAGGATATGAGCTCACAAACACCAATCCTGGTCCACTTGGACAGTTGTGTTGAACCCCTAAGTCCAACAACAGTACACAATCTCCAGGTCCCCTAAAAGCAAAAGAGCTGCAACCACAGGAGAACACCCATCCCTCTAGATTCATGGAGAAAATATCAAGGATGTGACTACTACGAAGGTCGCTGCTAAGCTGGAGGTGGTGGGGTGCAGGGGCCGATTATGACTCACAAAACCTCAGCTTCCTGCTCCCCTCCTCCCACCACCAACACCCTGCAGGCGACAGGCAACAGACAAGGAAGGGACAGGTGTCTGCTGGTGTCATGCCTACCTACACACACCCACGCGCCTGTCCACCAAGACAAAACCCCCAGGGGGTCCCTCAGGTCCAACCCTCAACAAGCCTGGGCAGTGTATGCACAAAGACATGCACACGTGTGTACACACACACACAAGCACATGCATGCATGCATGCACACACACACAAACTACTCCCCCAGCCGTGGCTCCTCCCCCCACCCACTCAGGCAAGAGCCTCCTTGTGCTCAGCCCTAAACCACCATCTGGGCCCAGCCCTGGCTGGCACCCAGGGCTCACCCAGTTCTTGCCACGAGGCAGCAGGCAGAGGAAGGAAGGGAGGTGTACAGACAGGGAAAGCAGCCTCTGCTCTGCAGCCTTCCCTCAAGGCCAGAAAGGCTAGTAGCCTTCTGAGGGTTGTTTTTAGCAGCCTCCCCTCCCAGGGGAATGGGTAGAGAGGATGGTCAACATCCATTACCAGCATCCCTCATCCTGTGAAAGGTTCATTTCCACTTCCTACTAGCCTTCAAGTCTTCTGAGGGCTCTATACTCTGAAGAACTTCTTTCCTGAGACTTCCGACTGCCTCATAAAGGTGGATGGGTAGACAGCCGAGGGCATCCCTCTTGAGCACCTTCTCTGTACCTTCAACAACCCAGGATCAGACCTTCAAGTTTCAGTCTGGTGCCTCCTGCTCTAAGAAGCTTGCTCTCCACTCTCTACCTACATCTGGGGCCTGAAGCAGGACCCTCAAGTTTTCCATCTAAAAAGTATAACCCCCTCTCCAGGAAACTGGTATACTTTCAGTAGCCTGACCAGACAACAAGTTCCTGTGCATGGCACAGACTACAGCCTAATTAGGGCTTGTTGAATGCATGCAGTCAGCTACATGACCATCCTTCCCCACACCCAACCCAACTCAAACCTCACAAACAAACAGGTTCCTCAGTCAGAAGTGCAGAACAACTTCCGGAGCCCTAAGGCACAGCAGGCCCTCCCAATAAGACCTTGAAGAAGCCTAGTAACTCTCTCCTCTGGCTTCTCTAAGACCCCAGACTGCTAGCTTGCATTTCAGTGAGGGGTTTTGCCATGTTTCCTCTATGTCAGTCATCCACTAAAACCTTTTGGCAACTAGAGGAACCTGAAATGGCTATACCTGATCCACCAAAGTACTGCCCGCCTTGGGTAGAAAAGAAAATGAGCACCCTGCCTCCGTGTCCCAACAGAGCTAGGACTAACTCCAACAGCACAACCATACACTGCAAAGAATTGCTCTTTGAGGAGCATATGGGGGAGAGACGCCAAGGTCCACTGAAGCAGGAATGGTAAGTCTCTGGCCCACAGGCTAGGTAGGCCCATACTAGGAAAACACACTGGGATCCCTGTACTCAAAGAACCTCAGCATGAGCGTCCTCCAGAAAACAGGCTCATGAAGACTGGGGGCCTGAGTGGCAGGCTGGGAGGCGGAACACAGACCATGCATTCTGTCATCTGCTGGCAGCACCCCATCACCAGTGCCAGGCTCCGATGCCTGGAGGGCTAGCCGTAGATAGTGTGGACTGTGGGAAGGCCACAAAAGAACGGCAGCTTCCCTTGACTGATCCACCACATTACATGCTGGACAGCACCAGGTAGCTAGCTGCTGCATCTAGGGAGCCCAGCTATAGGAAAAGGGAGGGAACAAAAGAGTACTATCTTCCTGCTTTTCTAACTATCAGACCTCAACAGGAAGACAATGCCCCAGGCAAGCTGCAGCAGAGGACACATGCAGAGGGAGCCTACAGCTTTTTCAGTTTTTCTCTCCAACTGTCCCCAGTCCATAAACAGAAGCTTTAATCCAAAACCTTGGACCCTTAAGCTCCCAGGGTGGGGGACTGGGAGGGAACTGCAGCCATCCCAAACAGCTCCAACCTGCTCTAGAGGGAGGGCAGGGCCATGGGTGGGGACAATAGATGGGGCCCAAGAATGTGGCCACCTCATTACCATCAGGGCTGAAGGAGGCCAGGTCATGGAACAGAAGTAGTTTTCTTGGGTGATGGAGATCTAGCTCTTTCCTCCCCAGCAGTAGCAGGAGGGTACCTGCCAGGTTTGGCCAGGTAAAGTGTCTCATACTGAGCACTAGCCAAGCGTCACACAATTAACTGACCACTTTTGGAAGCTGAGAAAGGGGTCTCAAGTTAAGCTGTCTGGTCCTTATGCTAAGGAAGGTATCTAGTTCAGTGACAAGACAAGGCATATATATAGGGTGTACCGTGACTCACCTGGTGAGGGACCTATGCTGTACCAGCTGGCATCCTCTAAACTTTACAGTAGAAAGTGAAAAGGTCACACACAGTCCAGTCATTTACTGTCTGTAATCTTGCCTACTTTCCCCGAGAGGTCACCAACTGTAACCATTAGCAACCATGATGCTACCTCAGGTAGGACTCTGGACTCAACCAGCAGCTTTAAAAAGGTATCCAGTACCCAGGTCCCACACCAAGCAGCTCCAAAGTTCTCCTTCAGAACAAAAATAAGGTATCATCTCACCCATACTCCTCAACCTAAAGGACCCCGTGTGCCCGCCCCAATGCCCTTGGGCAACTAGTACAGCGTGTCCTTCATCTTCTTCAGAGGCACTATCTAGCAATGTCCACACATCTGCTACCCAGAGTCTAGGTAGACTAAACTGTTTCCTTGGCCTGTCCTGTGCTGTAGCATCACATGTGGGTGCTCCTGATAGCCGTGTATTAGCTTAGATTAGTGGGAATCATCCCATCTCAAGAAGAGGAAACTGAGGCAGAGAGAGCACCGTGACTGGCAACAGAGTGACAACTAATGCGGCAGGCTTTCTTTTGACACACCAACCAGCTCCCAAATCATGACACCAAGACCTCTTATTAGTTATGAACGCTCGGCCTTATCTTATGCTTGTCCCACCAGCTCTTATAACTTAAATTAGCCTGTTCGTCTACACTTTGCCTTGGTGCTTTTTACTTTTCTTTCATTTTGTATGTCCTACTTCATGTCTGGCTGGCAGCTGCCTGGTTGGCTGCCCCTGCTCCCTTCCCCCAGATTCCTCCTCCTATTTATTTTCTCTGCCCACCAGCCCCACATATCCCTACCGCCTAGCTATTGGCCACTCAGCTTTTTATTAGGCCAATCAGGTGCCTTAGGCAGGCAAAGCAACACATCTTTACATCATTAAACAAATGTAGCATAAACAAATATAGCATATCTTTACATAGTTAAACAAATATTCTGCTACATAAACAAACGCAACACATCTTTACATTGCTAAAGTAATATTCCACAGCAAACTAATTTTCAGTGTGCTCCTCAGCTTTGAGTCTTTAGCTCCCAATACACATAACCCTTGTCTTCAGCCCACACCCAGGGACCCAATTCTGGACTGGTTCCTCAAAGAAATGCCTAAAGGCTCAGTGGTTACCAGTGACAAGTCAACTCTGACCCTAGAAGGCAATGCTTAGAGGGCTCCATGGCCTTCTGTTTCCACAGTGATGGGTAATTTGAAAATGACTCCTTCATACCATTCAGGAAAAGTAGACACCTTTGGACTGAGCCTTCTATTCCGTCCTGCTCAGAGGACAGAAGTACCTATCTCATGTGTGGCTCTATGAGTAAGCCCACATGTTCACAGAAAGTGTCTCATGGAGACCACCTACACCTCCTTATATCACCCTTAACTTTCATCCCACCACACTTATCTGACCTGGTCTCTGGTTGCAGCCCCTGCCTCGAGGGCCATTTTTCACACTGCTCTCACCACCATCGAAGTCCATTTTGTTCCTCCAGCCCAGGCCCGCATACAGCACTAGACCCTCAAGAGTAAAGCAGCCCTCAGCGAGCTTTGGTTCCCTGTTCTCCAGCAGCACAGGGGGAGCCTCACTGACCTTCTTCACATGTGCCTTGGAGCACAGGCTCTCCCTCTGTGAGCCAGTACAACACCGGTGGCAAGCCTCCTGCTCAAAGAGGAAGGGGGATGAAGACAGTGTGGTCTCTGCTTTTGAGAACTCCCTCTCTGGAGGGAAGACATCTGCTCATGACTGAGTGCCAAATGAGATATACTGGAATACATGAGAACAGAGAGAAATGAGTGCTCAGCGAGAGAGTCCTGAAAAGGGCCTGGATACAGAGATGATGGTGGTGAAGAGGTTTTCCAGTGGGTGTAGGGTCCAGCATGTGGACATTAAACAGAGGAAATGTCCTAGTGAGGACTTAGCAAGAAAAAAGGCAAAGAGGAAAGTTTAGGTCCTCAATGGTGACAGTGACAGCTGGACTGAGAAGCGGCAGGATAACTGGAACATGGTAGGAGGCATGACCTCTAGGAATTCAGGGCTGCCTAGTCTGGCCACACAGCTGTCCCTAAGATACTGCCCCTCCGCAGGTGGAATCAGACTGCCAGAGTGCAAATCCTCAGCCTCGGTCCTAGAACCGCACTCGCCTTCTCTGTGCCCGATTCTCTCTAAAGACAGGGGCCAGCAGCAAAGCAACTTCAGTGGGCTATTGGGAGGAATGAGATCATACACACAAAGGGCTGTGCAGGGCCTGGCACACTGAGGACTCTAGCCAACACCCCAACACTGTTGTCTCCATGGCTGTTGCTGATGTCACTGTCAGGCTCCGTTTTCTCCTACCCCCTGGGCTGAAGGGCTCTCAGACACAGGTGCTAACCCCAGATCAGGGCCTCCTAGACTTGAGCACCAATCACCACACTGATCCCCCACTGAGGGCCTGGCTTGCAGGCTTGGACGGCAGGGCGAGCACCAGGAATGCTCTTCTCCAAATCTGACACTTTCTTCTGAAGTCCAACTCAATACCACCTATCCATTCGGGCAGTTTCTGAACCCTTCCCCTTCCACTGCCCCCCATCAAGCGTGCTTCAGGTTTCAGAACTAGCACAGGATTAGAGAAGCTGAAAAACCAATGTTCCGCCCCCCTCTCTGAAATTCCCAGACACAGCCACCGGCAGTCGGCCAAGGCGGGGTGCGCCCATCCCACCCAACTTGCAATCGGGGAGATTGAACTACAGCAGGGCCCTCCCACCTCCCACGCCCGGGCTACACGCCCCTGCTCACCTAGGCAGACCGACACAGGTGCCCAGGTGTGGGAGGACGGCCCTTACACAAACCAAACAGTCCGGGGTCCTCGAGGGTTACCCCGGACGTCACGGTGGCCAATAACCTCTGAGACCTCTTTTCGCAGGCCCGGAGAGCTCGGCCCCAAGTCCTAACCCTGCTTCCGGCGGGGTCTTTTCAGCCTCGAGCCCTCAGACCCTGTCCCACAGCCCCCAGCTCGTCCCTAGGCGCTCAGCCTCGGCACTCACCGCGCGGGTGCGGCCCGAACGCCACCAGCACGAAGTAGTCCGCGAGCCGCGCCATGGCAAGGGGCGCAGGCGGGCTCCACGGCTCGAGGATTCGATGGCGGCGCGCTCATGGCCCGGCGCTGGCCCTAAGCTGCACACTTGGGACGCCCCCGGCCCGCTTCTCTGCAGCGCCGCTGGCCAGGGCTTCCGCCGCCATCTTCCCAGCCAGCCGGCCCGCCCGAGCGCTCGGTGCGCCTGCGCAGTTCTGCCCCTCCCGTGTAGGCGGGGCCTTGTGAAACACGCTTCCATTGGTCTACTCGGCGTAGGGCGGGTCCAAGGGCGCTGCTCCGCCCACTACTTCAAGCTCAAGGACCAGCTCAACCCTTTGGGCGGGTGAAGCGGACGGCAGCCGGAGCGGGTCAGCTACCCTGCTCCCGCGGCCGACATTTCGACCTGAGACACTGGCGAGAACCAGAGCGTATTTCCCCCGTCGAGACTGAAGCCCCGGAATGAAGAGAAGCCTGGACCTCACCCTTGGAAGCTCCTAATCCCCAGAGTCAGGGACGTGGTCCCGAGACTTCAGCTCATAAACCGCTGGAGTCCAGGCCTTGTGCTGCGAGTCTCCCAAACTAGAGATTCAAGTCAGGGGGCCAGGGCTTCGCCTCAAACGCTGCCAAACTTACGATGGCCTAGGGAAAGGCTTCACTTTTGGGTAGGTGGAATGTCCAATACCTGCATTAAAACAAAATAAAACAGCATTTGCCTCCGGTCCCAACGTGGGTCACCTTCCTGGGAGGTCAGACCACCCTGGAGGTCTGGGATTAACCAGGCCTCTAGCAGTGACACAGAAATGGGTAAAGGTCTGGACACTGGGGAGACAAAAGTCCTTGACCAGGGAGGTCCAAGGAGAGAACGGGGCTTTTTTTTTTTTTCGTATATGAATTTAGTTTCTGTGGGAACTGAAAGGCAAGCTGCCTCCTAGTATCCTGTTCCCTCTAACTGCAGGATCTGAGAATGAATGAAACCAAAATCAAGGAGAGAGAAGTTCAGTTCGTGGTGTATTATCTAACCCTTGGGAGGCTGAAGCAGGTAGATCATGAGTTCCAATCCAGCCGCCTAGGCTTCACTGGGAAACCTGTCAAAACAGGCATGAGGGCCTTGCTGGAGAATTAACTCAGCAGTTAAGGGCACTTGTTCTTGCAGAGAACCTGTGTTGGGTTTCCAGCGAGCAACCATCTGTAACTCTGATACCAGAGGACCCATCGCCCTCTTCTGGCAACCAGGAGCACTGCTTGTATCTGGTGCACAGCCGTCCAAGGGGGGTGGGGAGAGACACCCATACATATAAAATGAAAATGTCTTTTTTAAAAGAGAGGGATGAGGGAAAGACTCTCCCGGAAATGGAGACGTAGCCCTGGCTCTCCCTTGCCACTGCCAGGTGATATGGGGTGTGACATCTTCCTTTCTGCTTAATGTGTCTGAACTTGCTTGAGCTGGTTTCTGTCAATCACCAAAACTTCTCTCTACACCACTGAGTGAAGAAGTGGTGACTGGCACATTTGACTTGGTGCTTGAACCCCAGGCTGACTCTCTTAGAAACTAGTGGGGCCCTGCCACCCATGGCCATGATCACCAGGCTCAGTGTCCTTACCGAAAAGAACTCTGATCCTAACAAGATCGTTTCCAATCTATCCTCAAGTGCCTTGCCACGAAGTTGAATACCCTGACCATTGCATTTCCCTGGCCACCTACCTCTTCTCAAGGGCCTGTGGTCTCCTCAGATGCTCCCTTCTCCAACCAGTTCGGTCTCCTTCAAGAAGATACTCTCTCCTTGGTCTCCTTGGCTCCCTCCGTCTGTTCTTTGACCTGACCACTGTCTCCAAATGCCTGTCTTCCTGCAAACTGCTGCCTCAACGTTTCACTATTCACGGCTAACCCAGCCATGTATTATCTTAACCATCTGTATCCTGCAGACAGACCTAAGAAGGCAGAGTGACCCATGGTGACACCACTGCCTCAACTTGAGAAGGATAGATGCCCCTATAGAGCAGAGTGACCCACAGGGACACAATGTTCTAGTCTGTGATGGATGGGCACTCCCCAAATATACTTCCTGGCCTGCTGATATGTACAGTTGTCTTTTAGTCTTTATCTTCTGAGTCTACTTCTATCTCATGGATGGTCACTGCTTGAGTTGACTTTTCCTAGAAAAAAAAAAAAGCATACCAGTCATATGATAGACCCCAAACCTGCCGATCTACACCCACCCTCCTTCCAGAGACACCTGCCCCTCCTACCTATCTACCCATGTCCCACTGCTCCCTATGAGTTCTCCTGCCATACCCAACCTTTCCCTATCTTCAAAACCCTTCCCATCAGAATCAAACCTCAAATTTATACCTTAAAACCATATCTTTTGATGAAGTTGCCACCCTTTTTGCCCCAAGAAAATTTCTCTAAAGCAGCAATGCAACCCCTTTAGGCGTTGAATGACCCTTTCTCCAAGATCACCTAAAACCATCAAAAACACGAGTTTTTAAGATTTATAGCAGTAGCAAAATTGCAGTTATGAAGTAGCAAGGAAAATAATTTTTTGGTTGGGGTTACCACAACATAAGGAACTGTATTAAATGGGTCACAGCATTAGAAAGGTTGGGAACCATTGGTCTAAAGTCTTCCCCAATGTCACCAACACCAAACACTCTTTGAGCCCAGTGCTGACTTCCCCAGCAAACTCTTGTCTGCTTTCCCTGCTCCTGCCAGAAAGCACATTCTCCCAAAGGCAGCTTCTCCAACTAAAGGAAAATTTAAAAGGTGCTAGTGTCTCTCCTTGAGTTGACATGGGCAGTTGTATACAACAGGTGTCAAATATGTAGTGTATAGCTGGGACCACGGGGGGGGGGCGGGAAGGAGCAGAATAAGCACAGAGGCCTAAACTCAAGGGTCAGAGAATATCCCCATCCTCACCTGCTGCCATGGGTTTGGGGAAAGACGGGATACGCTCAAGGGGGCAGCGATTGTTTGAAAGGAAAATCAGAGAGAGCTTTGGTCCCATCGCTTTCTCCAAGGCTCACTTCCAGCTATCCAAATGAAAAACACATGAAGCTAGGTGTCTTGGTGCACTGCAGGAATCCCAGCACTTGGGAGACCGAGGCAGAAGGATTTCATAGTAAAGCCAGTTGGGGGTACATAACATACTGAGACCCTATTTCAGAAAAGAAAAAGAAAGGAAATCTGGGACAAGTGAGATGGCTCAGCGGACAAAGGTGCTCCCTACCAAGCATGATGCCCTGAGTTCTTGAAGTTCAGTTCCTGGGACCCACATGGTACAGGAGATAGCTCGTTCCTACAAGTTAGTTTCTGACTTTTGGATGCTCATACCCACAAGCTAGCACATAAAGAAATGTCATGTTTCTAAATTTTAAATCTGATTGAGGAGGAAAGATGCTTCAGTGGTTAAGGGCACTCACCGGCTGCTCTTCCAGAGGATTTGATTCCTAGTACCCGTAAGGTACCTTACAACCTCCTGTAACTCAAACTCCAGGGGATCTGATGCTCTCTTCTGTCCTCAGAGCGCAACAGCTGTATACATACACTCACTGATACACATGCAGGCAAAATCTCTACATACATAAAACAATTTTTCAGAACTGGTAAAGGGCAGCCAGGCGGCAGTAGCACACACCTTTAGTCCCAGCACTTGGGAGGCAGAGGCGGGTGGTGGATCTCAGTGAGTCTGAGGCCAATCTGGTCTATAAAGCGAGTTCCAAGACAGCCAGGACTGTTACACAGAGAAACCCTGTCTCAAAAAAAAAAAAACCCACAAAACAAAACAAAAAATTGATAAAAGGTTTGTGAGTTGGTTCAGCAGGTAAAAATACTTGCTCACAGCCTTGTGACCCGAGTTTGATCCCCAGGACCTACATGGTAGAAGGAGAGAGCTAAGCAGATTCCTGCCAGTTGTCCTCTGACCTCCACATGTGCACTGTGGTTCAGCATAGACACCTATATATCTGTGATAAAAAATAAACTTTAAGTATTACACACACACACAACCTGGTAAGACAGGCTGGGCATGATGGCACACTCCTTCACACCCAGCACATGGGAGTCAGAAGCAGGTGGATCTCTATGAGTTGGAGGACATCTTGATCTATGTCAGGAGTTCCGGAACTCCAGAATGAGACTCTGTCTCAAAACAATAACAATAAAAGCCAACCAGAAAAAATAAAATATTGACAAAAATAGAGAATTTAAATGCATATTTTTTTTCTTTTTTAAGTGTACTAGTTAATGCATTAAGGAATGAAAAAAAAAACAAACTTCCTCTTGGATTAGTTTGACCAAGAGTGAACTCAAATTTGAAATTTCTACTTCTCTTCCTGTCTTCTACCTGTCCCTAAAAAAAGGCTTTGCTCTTTACTGAAGAGCACAGAGAGTATCAGTGGGGAAGGAATAAGGTCTCTTTACAAAAACTGTAAAGAGTTTTTACAAGGAGGAAACTACTGCTCCCAACTAGCCCAGGATGGTAAACAAAAACTGTAAATAGATGCTAGCAGCCTATACCCGCATGATATTTGCAACAATTATATTAGGTATTTATAGTATAACCTTGCCTTTAACTATTGGCTGTTTTTCAGCAAATGTTTATAACACATGTATTACTCTAGGTCAGAGGCCTGGAAGAATATATAATTTTTATTTTTTTAAAGATTTATTTATTTACTCTGTATACATTGTTCTGCCTGCATACCAGAAGAGGGCAACAGATCTCATTACAGATGGTTGTGAGCCACCATGTGGTTGCTGGGAACTGAACTCAGGACCTTTGGAAGAACAGCCAGTGCTCTTAACCTCTGAGCCCCCTCTCCAGCCCAAGAATATATAACTTAAAATGAAAGTTATGCCCTAGTTTAGTCAGTAAAAGCTGATTGCATGGGAAATCCATTGCATATAAGGCTGTTTGTTATATTGTTCTTTAAAGGCAGGTTAAATTTAAACAGGGCTTTAAATTCTAGCATTTAGGAGACAGAGGCAGACAGGTCTCTGTGAGTTCCAGGCCAGACAGGGCGACATAGTGAGACCATCTCAAAAAATAAACACGAAAAAAAGAGTGCTCAGTAGGATAGCAGGTTAAGTCTCAAGTGATCTTAGGTGATAGCACATGCCTTTAATTTCAGCACTCAGGAGGCAGAGGCAGGTGGAAATCGAGGACAATCTGGTCTACCAAGTATGTTCCAGGACAGTCAGAGATACACAGAAAAACCCTGGCCCAAAAAAAGAAAAAAAAAAAAAAAGCAAACAAACAAATAAATAAATAATAGGAAAAGGGTCAGAGAGATGGCTTAGTGGTTAAGAGCACTGGCTGCTCTTTCAGAAGACCCAGGTTCAATTCCTAGCACCTACATAGCAGCTCACAACTGTCTGTAACCCCAGTTCCAGGGGATCCAATACCCTCATATATACCCACAGACAAAACATAGAATTAAAAAAAAACATTAAAAATAAATGGGGGAAGGCCGGGCAGTGGTGGCACACGCCTTTAATCCCAGCACTCGGGAGGCAGAGGCAGGTGGATCTCTGTGAATTCGAGGCCAGCCTGGTTTATAAGAGCTAGTTCCAGGACAGGAACCAAAGCTACGGAGAAACCCTGTCTTGAAAAATCAAAAAAAAAAAAAAAAAAGGGGGGGGGGAGCCTTAAGCTATCTTAAGGCCTATTATTAACTTTGCTGTGAGGCCCAACAAAAGTTCAGCCTCTTTGAATACAAGAAATATTTTCCAAAAATTGTACTACTGTAAAATTTTTTATTTTGTGTGCCATGGCATGTGCATAGAGGTCAGAGGAGAACAGTCAGTTCTCCCATTGTCTGTCAAGTTATTGGGCTTGGTGGCAAGTGCCTTTATCCATTAAGTCATCTTGCCAGCTCAGCGGATGCATATTGTACTCACTGATGGGTGACTAACATGAAGGCAGTGCCAGCAGCAGTGTGGAGACATAACATAAGGTGGAGGTGGGCTAGAGAAAGGGGGCACAGCTGAAGAACTGAGCCTGTCTCAGCATCCTCCCCTCTCCTCCCCCCTGCTGTCCCTCTGACTTGGCACAGTGATTTTGAACTCTGCCACATTGTCTCTTCATCCTCTTAGATGATGCTGACAATAGTTCTCAGAACCTAACGATCTCTGAAGGCCCCAATCTGTTCCAGCCTGCCCTCCAGCACAGGTCCTGGACAGACACCCCTAGCCACCGGCGTGTCCTGGGCATGCCCACACTGCAGCCTCTTCCACGTGCTCTTCAACAGCGTCTGCACCACCAGATAGAAAGACTATGTACAGATCTCCAACCTTCTTGTCCCTTTCTTTCCTGCCTACTGACCTGTTCTCTCTCCTCTGACCTACCCAGCACCCAGTCCTTCTAGATGCTCTAGTGCCCGCCTCAGCCCCATGTTCCCTAGCTTTCAGAGTCACATCTTTATTTTATTTTAGTTTTTTCCAAGACAGGGAACTCACTATGTAGACCAGGTTGGCCTCAAACTCAGAGATCCACCTGCCTCTGCCTCCAGGGTGCTGGGATTAAAGACACCGTGTGCCGTCACCACCTGGCCACCTTTTTATTTTTGAAGGGGTTGTAGATGAAACCCAGGGCCTTGCACACAAGGTACAGTGCCAGGTCTCAGTTTGTTTCCTTTTTTTGGTGGGGGCAGAGTCTTGCTATGTAGCCCAGGCTGGTCCTAAACTAGTGACTCCCCCTACCTCTTTCCTGAGTGCTAGGGTTACCGAGAGGCACCACCACCGTGCCTAGCATTGTTCTTGTCTAACAGACAAAATCGCTCTCCTACATCTGATAAAGACAGGCAAATGGGTGATTACCTGCTAAGCTTTTCCTCAGGAGGTAAAGCAAGCTCTTCAGCACGGCCTACATTCAACACTCTTCAATGGCGTCATCTGGCTAATGCTTACTGAGCACCCGCGGGTGTTCAGCAGGAGGGACAGAGTGACCAAGTCCTGGGGACTCCCACAGAGGGACAGGATGAGATAGAAGAAGAAACACAGATGGACACTGAAATAAGAGAAATGCTTATGGCAGTGATGGGGTGTTTAAGGAAAAAGAAAAAAGAAAAAAAGGCCATCAGGCTGACAAAAATCAGTGGCCCGGAATCCGTGGGTGGA